CAGCCTGTTTTGTTTAGGGCTAGTATTTAAGGGGTAGGAGTTTTGGACGGGGTGGGGAGTTGGGGCGCTGACTTGGACACAGGCTTGTGGCCTGTGTGACTCCTTCCACACGGGCTCATGGCCTGTGTGCAGCATGAACACAGGCTTTATGACCTGTGTGATTTCCCCAGGCAGGGCTTGTCCCTGTATGACTCTCCCAAATAAAGGCATGTCAAGCATCCCCAAGGCTCCATGCATCTTCTTCCATCTACCCGAGCCCCGAGTGGACCTGTCCAGCCTAGAGAGGCCGCAACACAGACAGATTCCGAATTTGTTTCAGATGTAGATTGCTTTTAGCCCACAGCTTGATGTTAACATTTTACTCTGAATGGTGTGGGTCAGTGGTTTGAGCATTGTCCTGCAAACTGAGGGGCCGCAGGTTTGATTCACAGTCAGAGTACGTGTCTGAGTTGCGGGCCAGATCCCTGGTTGGGGTCTTGTGAGAGGCAACCAAGTGATATTTCTCTCGCACATTGATGTTTCTCTCACTCCCTTTCTCCCTCCCTTCTCTCTCAAAGAATAAGTAAAATATTTTTTAAAACCATTTTACTTACAGTAGTCTGCATGATTCTTTGATGAATAAGAATACAATGCATATAAAACAATGACCCTCACCCTGACCTATGTGGCTTAGTTGTAGAATATTTAAGAAAGGAGAGACAGGCACACAACATGTATTTTAGAATGATATTTGTCAACTTCCTTTAAAAATTTTCCTGTGCCGACTGGGCAAGACAAGGAAGCCCCTCCCTTTTGCCTCTCTCCAGTGGTTACTTCAGGTGCCTGTCTTCCGCGTCTCCCACACAGGACTGTAGGACCACTGGTGGTCTCCGATTGAGTGAAAAAGGGGAGCCCTCCCAGCAGGCACCCTTTGGCTCAGTCTCACAAATGACTGAAAGGATCTGAGACAAGAATGCGTGCATGAATATGCTTCCAGGCGCCACTGGAGGTGGGTGGAACCTCTAAAGGAGCAAAGGCCAGGAGTACCCAGAGTATTCACTGAGTGACCTGTGCTGCGCTGAAAGGCTAGACCAGACAGAGGGGCAACAACCAGTGCAGCTCTGTCCCCGCCAATATACTCTATTCCTCTCCATCTCAAGCCTTCATAATGCCAGAGGAATTTTCTAAACCGAATTTGTCCTTTTACGTAGCAGAAAACCTTTTGAAAATTTTTTTTCCTGTGCCAATTTTCTTGTCTAAACTTTCCTTTAGAGCAGAGAGAATTTTAAAAATATAGAGTACCTGACTAATATGGGGCACTGACCTCTTTTCCTTTAGATTGTCAAATAAAAAATGACAACAGCCAACACAACAATAGCTATCTGATGTGACTGAATCAAAATTATTCCTATTTTTTTTGGCAGGTTGGTAAAAAATATATTTGGTGTGCTGCAGAATTTTAGTAATTAGTTTATGTGTTCTATGAGATGAAAAAGGTTGGTATAAGTGGAATCACAAAGTATATATTTTTTTTATCTGGCTTTTTAAATTTAGCCTAAGGCTTTGAGATTAATCCATGTTGTTGTGTGCACAAATAATTTATTTCTTTTTATTACTGAGTCATATTCCATTGTATGGATACTCCATAAAATGTTTATCTGTTCATTAGTTGGTGGACATTTGGATTATTTCCAGTTTTTGCTATTATAGATAAAGTTGTTAGAACAATAATGTAAAAATATTTGTATGAACACATTTTCATTTCTCTTGGGTAAATATCTAAGAGGTGTATTGGAAAGCTGGGAGTGGGAAGGAAGCATTTGGGGGAGGATGTAATAATAGAAAATTTTTCTTTAAAAAAATAGTAAAAACACATACATGAAAATAACATGGCCATTGGTTTCCATAGTGGTTGTACCATATTACATTCCCAATAGTGATGCATGAGAGTTCTAGTTGCTCTTTATTTTTTTTTTTTAGAGAGAGGGGAAAGGAGCGAGAAAGGAGAAATATCAATGTGTGATTGCCTCTCGTGCACTCCCTTACTGGGGACCTGGCCTGCAACCAAGGCATGTGCCCTGACTGGGAATCAAATCAGCAGCTCTTTGGTTTGCAGGCTGGCACTCAATCCACTGAGTCACACCAGCCAGGGTCCCTAGTTGCTCTTTAAAAAAAAAAAAAAAAAAGATTTTATTTATTTATTTTTAGAGTGAGGGGAAGGAAGGGAGAAAGAAAGGAAGAGAAACATTGATTGGTTGTTTGTGCAGTCCCAAACTCACAACCCAGGCATGTGCCCTGACTGGGGATCGAACTGGCGACCTTTTGCTTTGCAGGATGATGCCCAACCAACTGAGCCACACCAGTCAGGGCAGTACCATTTGTTCTTTATTCTTGCCAGCAATCCTTGTTCTTTCTGGTCTTTTTAATTGTAGCCATTCTAGTGAATATACAGTTGTAAGTCATTGTGGTTTTTACTGGCATTTCTCTAATGTGGTAGCCAGTTTCAGAGATGGCACCTAATGATCCTAATCTCCTGGTATTTATGCCTTTGCGTAGTCCCATCCCATGATAAATAAGAATGACCTGTGTAACAAATAGGCTGTTGCAGAAATGACAACCGAGTGACATCTGAGGCCAGGTCATATCTTGTTTCTGTCTTGTTCTCTTAGATCATTCACTCTGGGGGAAAACCTGCTATCATTTCATGAGGACACTCAAGTAACCCCATGGAAAGGTCTATGTGGCAAGGAACCGAGGTTAGCTACCAGCAGTTAGCACTAATTTCCCAGTCATGGAGTGAACCATTTTGTAAGTGGATCCTCTGGTCCCAATCAAGTCTTTGGATATAGCCCTCGCTTATGCCTTGACTGCAGCCTCAAGAGAGAGACCCTGAGACTAAACCACTCAGCTAAGCCACTCTTAAATTTCTAACCCACAGAAAGTGTATGAGGTAATAAATGTTTATTATTCTAAATTTTGGGGTAATTTGTTACTCAGCAATAGATAACCAATACAGATTTTGGTACTTGGAAATGGGATACTAATGTAACAAACATCTAAACTGTTTGGGAGTGGCTTTGGCATCAGGTAGTATTTGAAAGATGGAAGGACTTTGAGGGGCTTTTAGTGAAAGCCCATTGATAGAAACTTGATGGCCTTTGAGGAGGCTATTGACAAAGGCTTGTGGGAAAGTATGATAGACAGAATTCTCAGGTGGTTCTCAAGATTCCTGTCCCCTAATTTATATGTTTCGCATAATGGCTTCTCTTTGAGTTGTGAGTAGAACCTGTTAGTATGATATTACAGACACGACTATGTTGCACTATACAGCAAAAGGGATTTTGCAGATGTAATTTAGGTCTCTAGTCATTTGACTTAGAGTCATTCAAAAGAGATATTATCCTGGTTAGCATACAGCCCTAGCTTATGCCTGGTTAGGCCTGACCTAGTCATCTGAGCCCTTAAAATAGACAAACAACAGCATAAGAAATTCTGCTGGCTTTGAGGAAGTGAACTAGCATGTTTTGAGATGGCTGTTGGAGGGTGCTATGTGGCAAACAGGAAAGCATGTGTTCTGCAGGCAGCATAGGGAAAGGTATTGTTGGTAGAGGGAACAACATGGGTAAAATGAGGAGGCTTGAAAGTGAGTAGTCCACCCAGTGGGAAGAGTGACAGGAGACACTGGCTTAGAGGTGAGTCTCATGCTAAGGAAGCTAGACTGTCTCATATGGGCAGCAAAGGTAGTCATTCAAAATAGGGAAGTGACATTACCATCATCTTCAGAGAGCACTTCCAATGAGCTAGGAACTAAGTTAACGTGTATGCGTTATCCCACTTAATCTGTAATAGTACCAAAGATGTTACTCTCATTATCCCCACTTTACAAAGCAGGAACCTCAATCCTAGAGAAGTAATGCCTTAGGGAAGGTAATAAATAGGTCAGAATTTGAAACTCTAAAGGCATTTCTGCCAATCATTTCTAGATCATCTTAACCATAAGAGAATAAAGGTTCTAGCAGTGGTATGAAAGATGGATTGAACAAGGACAGACAAGAAGCCTGCTGTAGCTGCTGCATGGGTTTTGAGGAAAAATGAAGGCACTAAGTAAAATTGCAAGCCCAGCTCTACTACATTCCCTGTAGCTTTTGGTTGGCTACGGAACCTCTTGGAGCATCTCCATCCTCTGTAAAATGAGGATGCTAATGGTGCATACCTTAGAATGTGGTTCTGAGTATTATGTGAGAAACTGTCTATCAGTCCTCTAACGCCACATCTGAGATGTAGTTGGTCCTTAATATATGGTAATTTTGAAAGTATTTATTGAATAAAAGTAAAGGCAGGTCCACTTCAAAAAACTTTTATTAAGTACTTAATAAATTGGTCTTCAACGTGTGCAACTTGTACCGCAGTGAACAAAATGAGCAAGCAAATAGTTGAACACGTAAATAACTTCAAATGCAATAACTGCCAGTAAGAAGTGGAGGATATTAAGTATTTTTCTATAGCTTTAATAACGTTCCGATACTGCCTGCTTTATAGTAATTCAAGACATTTGCACAGATAAACCAAAACAAGCCAAAAAGAAGTAACTGATTAGAAACACAAACCTCGCTCCCCTGAAACTAGCTCTGCCCTTTCATGGCTTAAGCAAAACAAGCAAATCCCCTCAAACCCTAAAACAAGTCCTCAGTGTGGTCACTATCAGACGGAAAGGGGGTTGGGGGACGCGGGGATAACCGGCGACAGAGATACGACTTCGTGTGCTGAACACTCAATACACAAATGATGTATTATATATAGAATTGTACACCGTAAACCTAGAAATATTTTTAACAAACGTAACCCCAATAAAATCAATTAAGGAAACCAAAACGAAACACAAATCTTTTCCCCTAAAACAAGTTCTGCCCTCACAGGGCCCCTCCCTCCACTTCAGCCTCCCGGGCTTACACTTTTGCTCCTCCCAGTTCTCTCTGAGGGACTCCCCGCTCCGGGATCGCAGCGGAGGCTCATTCGCTCGCGAGAGTTCCTCCATCTGGCCGATCACAGGCTGCAGAGCTGGAGGCCACCTGGAGTGGCCCAGTTCGGCTCAATCACTCTTCCTTGGCCCCGCCCCTCCGTCTCGGAGCCCCGCGGCCCCAGCTCGACCGGTGGTACCGGGAGCTGGTATGGTTTGCCTTCACGAGACCGCGGAAGGGAGGCGCTTCAGGTACTGCCGCCAAGATGGTACTGCCTCCACGTCCAGTTGCCAGGAGGCTGTGACTCGCCTCCGCTCAGCTTCGACATAGAGCGTTGGGGGTGTTTTCTGGGCTATGGACCGGCCTGGGTTCACGGTCTCTCTGGTGGTAAGTGCGGAGCGGGAGAGTGGGGCACTCGGAGTGCCGGAGTCCAGCACTGGCGGCAGCGGGGGCTCCTCTGCACTCGCAGTTTCTTCCGGTTCTGCGCGCTGAACTGTCTTCGGGTCACCGGTCACCAGGTCTGGGAGCAAGCACGCGGAGGTCCCGGGCCTGCGCCGGGTCCCCTGTCAAGGCCACGTCTTTCCTAGCCTGCCGTCGGAGAGTCGGGTCGGGTGGGGGTGGCTACTTGACTCACTGTCTTTTACAGAAAGACAGATTGCTCTACTTAAAAGCTTCAGCTGAGTCCTGGCTGGTGTGGCTCCCATATGGATTTGCATTTCACTTTGTTACCATTTTTCGCGTATTTGCTGCACCTTTTTCTTTGTTGGCCAGTTCCTTCCTTTGATTACCAATTTTGTAAAATGTCACTCTGGCACAGTAATTTGAACCATGGTGTTGGAGGACTTGTATAATTTATAACTGAAGTTCATGTGTGCAGCACTTACAAAGTCCAGGGACTGCTTGTACTTCTTTTTCTTTTCTTCAGTGAGTTGCTTCTGAAAAAGCTTTTCCAGAGTACTCATGTGATGTCTGCTCACTGGATCTATCCTTATACATGGGTGTGTTGGCAGGGCTTCTTAGGTAGACTGAGTAAACAGAAGAAAAGGTAAGAGTGAAGTTATTGAACACACTGTTAAGGGAAGTTTTCAGTGTCTTTTGCTCAAAATCTTTCTTTCTGGAAGGTAGTCCCTTAGTTTTCAATCTGGAGTAAAAAGAAATTAGTATCTGACAATGAAGCACTATCTCTAAATATATAAGGAACTGGGAATGAGGCTTCGTGTTCTCAAGGTTACCTTTATGAGAGGGACCCCCCCCCAAAACTGGAATTTATTTATAAAAAGCTGTGTGTTTATTCTTACATGTTTAAACTTCCAACACCTTCAAAGTACTCTCCATTTGATGCAATACACCTTTTGAGATTTTTTTTCCCGCTGCTCAGAACAGTTTTTGAACTCGTTGATTTTGATGCCACTTAGTGCCTCTGCTGTTTTTTGTTTCACCTCTTCTGTATTGGCAAAATGTTTCCTTTTGAGGTTTTTTTTTTTTCATCCTGGGAAACAAAACAAAGTCACTTGGGGTGAGATCAGGTTAATAGGAGGGTGGGGCACAAGGGTCATGCTGTTTTTGGTCAAAAACTGTTGAATACTCAGTGTGGTGTGGGCAGGTTCACTTGTAAGTCAGCCGTCCTGAAATGGGCAGATGCGTTTAAAGAGTCTTCAAAAAAAAAAATTCACTGAAGCAGAACGCAGCCTCTCACAACAATACCAGTTCATACACTGATACAGATGGATTACTAGAACACTCCCCTAGCAGAGGAAGCCTGTACTACAAGGGGCTCGCCCCTTCAGAAGATAATTCTTGTTGTTTTTGGGTCCCCCCTTGTATGTGACTTGTTTTATATTGGCACTGAAGTCTGAGTGAGCAGATCTACCTTTTTTGGTTGTTTTTGTGTTGAGCAGGCAGTTACCTAGACACAAGTATATTCTGAATTTTGATCAGTTAGTGGAGCAGCTGAGGCAGCCTTAGAGACAAGACCATCAGTCACCTGGGACCACAGCTATGATAGAGGAGTTTCTTCTGCGTCTCAAGTACTGAGGGATGGGACTACCTTCCTTTCTTATTTTTCTTTCAGCATAAGAGGGGTACTGGGAAAGGTTTAGTATGTGATAGTTTAGCTGGAAATCGCTTGTTAATGTGCTTTTGTTATCATTTCCAAACCAAATAGTATGTGTCCATATGTAAATTTTAAATACTAATTTTTTTAATGGCACAGACAGAATTTGAGTAGCATTAATGAAATGTCAACTAGAGAAAATTTAAAAGTTTTGGAAAGATAAAGTTACACCCATAGTTTTTCCACCTTACATCAGGTATTTTTTACCTGTTAACCAAACATACGTTAGTCTTTGCTCTCATACTTGGGAAGAGTGCCTAAAAGCTATAGTCCTTGCCTTCATAGGTTTATAGTCAAATAGGAGCAGACATTAAACAGTAAATAAAATAAAAATTAACTATGTAATTGCAAATGATGACATAAAGTAACCATTTGCTGAGCACTTTAATGTGCTTATGCAATTTTTTCATATCTGAAGTCCTATCATTACACTTTTGTGCTCTTTTTATTCTTTTAAAAAAATTTAACCCATAAACTTAAATCCAAGTGTCATAATGAAATTTGAACCTTAGTGTTTCTCAGCTTTTTGAAGTTGCTGAGTTGTTCCTGTCATGCAAATCACTGCATGATTTGGCTTTCTGTTGAGTGGGTCTGTGGGTAATTCTCGTCCAGGGAAGAGAATTTGAGGAGAGATTTTAACTCATTATTGCTGATGAAAGACTTGAATTTACAGATTTTTATATGCAAATTTATTAAATTTAATATATGAATATAATATTTAGTCTTTGGTAAAGTGTCTTAGTCTTTCGCATGGTTTTTAAAAAAATATATTTTATTGATTATGCTATTACAGTTGTCCCATTTTTTTCTCCCCTTTATTCCCCTCTGCCCTGCACTCCCCCCTCCTACCAACATCCACCGCCCCCCCTGCCCCGCATCTTATCTCATATCCATGGGTCATACAGATAAGTTCTTTGGTTTCTCCATTTCCTATGCTATTCTTAACCTCCCCCTGTCTGTTTTATACCTACCATTTATGCTTCTTATTCCCAGCACTTTTTCCCCTTTCCCCCCCTTCCCCCTTCCGCCTGATAACATTCCAAATGGTCTCCATTTCTGTGATTTCTGTTCCAATTCTAGTTGTTTTCTTAGGTTGTTTTTGTTTTTTTTAGGTTCAGTTATTTATAGTTGTGAGTTTGTTAATCATTTTACTGTTCATATTTATGATCATCTTCTTTTTCTTAGATAAGTCCCTTTAACATTCCATATAATAAAGGCTGGGTGGTGATGAACTCCTTCAACTTTACCTTATCTGGGAAGCACTTTATCTGCCCTTCCATTCTAAATGATAGCTTTGCTGGATAGAGTAATTTTGCATGAGGTGCTTGTCTTTCATGACTTTGAATACTTCTTTTCAGCCCTTTCTTGTCTGTAAGGTTTCTTTAGAGAAATCAGCTGATAGTCTTATGGGAATTCCTTTGTAGGTAACTGTCTCCTTTTCTCTTGCTGCTTTATTTTTTTTTAAGATTTTATTTATTTATTTTTAGAGAGAGAGGAGAGAAACATCAATGTGTGGTTACCCCTCGAGCACCCCCTACTGGGGACCTGGCCTGCAAACCCAGGCATATGTCCTGACTGGGAATCGAACTGGTGACCTTTTGGTTAGCAGGCTGCACTCAGTCCACTGAGCCACACCAATCAGGGCTCTTGCTGCTTTTAAGATTCTCTCCTTACCTTTAATTTTCGGTAATGTAATTATGATGTTGTCTTGGTGTGTGCTTCCTTGGGTCCAATTTCTTTGGGACTCTCTGAGCTTCCTAAGGCTTCCTGAAAGTCTATTTCCTTTGCCAGATTGGGGAAGTTTTCCTTCGTTATTTTTTTCAAGTAAGTATTCAATTTCTTGCTTTTCCTCTTTTCCTTCTGTCACCCCTAGTTGTCCTGGAGGTTCCTAAGCCTCTCTTCATTTTTTTAAATTCTTGTTTCTTCTGTTCTGGTTGACCGTTTATTTCTTCCTTCTGCTCCAAAGCATTGGTTTGAGTTCCAGCTTCATTTCCTTCCCTTAAGTAATGGTTCCCTGTATATTTTTCTTTATTTCACTTTCTATAGTCTTCACTTTTTTCTCTATTTTACGACCATGCTCAGCCATTTCTGTGAACATCCTGATTACCAGCGTTTTGAACTGTGTCTCTGGTAGGTTGGTTATCTCTTTATTGTTTAGTTCTATTTTTGGATCTTTGATCTGTTCTTTCATTTGTGCTATATTTCTTTGTCTTGGCACACCTGTTACATTGTAAGGGGCGGAGCCTTAGGCATTCACCAGAGGAGGCAACCCATGTTGCTGCATTGTGACACTGTATATGGGGGAGGGGTCCAAGAGGGAACAATGCTGCTTGCTTGGCTCTCACCCGGCCCTTGGCAGCCTCTCGGCAGGCTCTCAGAGGCTTTCAGTCTCCTCCCCTGCTACCTACAAGCAAATTGGGCTCTTCTAGTGCTGATTCCCAGGTGGGTGGATTTGTACATTCTAGGACCTTGTAGACCTCTCCAGTGAACACTCCTGTGAGGCTGGGAGTTTCTCCCACCACTGCAACCCCCACAGATTTTTATAGCCAGAGGTTTTACGGCCATATTTTCCTGTGCTGGAACCCTGGGTTGCATAGTCTGTCTTGCTCCCCAGTTGTTCCTCCAGGTATATCCACATGCAAATATGGGACCACCCAGTCCCCCAGCCACCGCCCGTAGTGTAGTCTTCCAGCCGCTGCCTTACCTCATGTCCTTTGCTCCCCCATTGCCTGTCTCTGCCCCCTCTACCAGTTTGGATGAGTATTTCTTCTGTAGCTCCTTGGTTGTCAGACTTCCATACAGTTTGATTTCCTGGCAGTTGTGGTTATTTTTTGTTTTTAAATTTGTTGTCGTCCTTTTGGTTGTGCGAGGAGGCAGTGTATCTTCCTACCTCCACCCTGGCCCCTCTTTTGCATAGTTTTTAATATTGGCATGTCAGAAATGTGGCATCAGCCAACTTTGAAAGATATTTATAGTTACATAATACTAAAAATAATAGCTCATATTAATTGATAATTGATTAAGGGTGGGCATTTCACTAAGCATATAACAGGCTCATTTAATTATATTTAATTCTCATTTAATGTCATTTAATTCTCAAAAATTCTGTGAGTATAAATACTATTATTTTGCCCATTTCATGCATAAAGAACTAGTTTAAATAGCTCTTCTAAGGAGACCCAGTTAAGATGGAAGCCAGGTGTGTCTGTCTGATGCCAAAACTGTAGTCTTAGGCAGTGTTTAATCTGAAAAAGACCTCTGGAGAAATGAAACA